CCTGCCTCCTGTCCTCAGTCACCCCCAGCTACTTCCTTTGCTCCTGCACTCAAGAAAGTCTCTTGTCCCAACGTGAGGCTACATGGGCACTCCCTGTCACCCAGCGTCGTGACTTTCTCCAGCTCCTGATGGGTCCCTGTGGGGTGTGCTTCAGAGCAGGATGGGCGGATGTGACCGCACTGCGCCCGGCAGCCTCCTGCCTGCGCCTCTGGCCCCTCCCCAGCCCCGTCCTCTGTCTCCCTTCCGGAATCCCTCACTCGCAGAGCGCGTTCCTGCGTGGCCGCTGAACGCCGCGTTAAGGGGCGTTGGGATGAGAGTCGGGCATGGGGGGTGGGGGCAGGGCCGGGGCAGGGGCCGGGTCCAGGCCCGTGCGTGGCGCCCTCACCCATCCTGTCCCACCAGGAAGCAGGTCCTGGGGACCAAGGTGGACGCGGAGCGCGACGGCGTGAAGGTGCCCACCACGCTGGCCGAGTACTGCGTGAAGACCAAGGTGCCGGCGCCTGACGAGGGCTCGGACCTCTTCTACGACGACTACTACGAGGACGGCGAGGCGGAGGGGGGCGCCGACAGCTGCTTCGGGGACGACGGGGACGGCTCGGGCACCGAGGAGTCCTGACACCGCCCGAATAAACCGCGGCCGGGCCCGTATGGATCCTGAGACCACAGACTACCTCACCGAGGTTTTGTGTTGCTCCCCTCCCCTCTGGTGGTTTCGTTTGGCTCTTTTTCTCCTTTCCCTTGTTTGTTCTGGGTTTTCATGTGCTTCAGAGAAGAGGGGCTGCCCCAGCGCCACCCACGTCACTCTGGGCTCCGTGGACGGGGGCCCAGCTTGGGAGTGGCCGGCCCACCTGTCCTCTCGGGAGGGGAGCAGAGTCCCAGCCTCTGCCCAAGCGCCCCGGCTTCAGACCGGCTGCAGCCCAGAGGAGTCACAGGGAGCGCAGCTGGGAACGTGGGTGGGCGGCTGCCGGCCTGAGGGTCCCGGCCCAGCGTGTCAGCCCCAGGGCCTGGAGCCACATCCCAGCACGAGTGGACAGATTCTCCGTGGCCGACTCTTCTCTCTGCTTTGGTTTGTTTGGAATCTAAATAAAACTACTTTATGAGAAGCCACAGAAGCTCTGCGGGGAGGGAGAGGCAGCCTGCAGGTCCATTAGTGACTGCACACGGCCAGCCTGCTGGGACCCAGCTGCGCCAGGTGTGGGTCTGGGAGGCCCGTCACAGGAGGCCGGGGGGCAGCCGGGTCCCACCGCCCGTAGCTCCCAAACTTGGGTCAGACGGGCCTGGGCGGCATCCCCCAGCCTGCAGTGAACTGAAAGTTCCTCCCTGTGACCAAGTGCTTTTGAGGGGACAGGAGCTGCCTCTGCAGGCGTCCAGCAAAGCTTCCTCCAAGGGCCGCAGCCGCCTGGGTGTTGATCCTGGCGCCTTGGCCACAAATGCCCCCATCAGCACTCCGGGGACAGCTCAGGGCCACAGATTGCCCCTATGAGCACTACGGGGGCTCCATCACCGTCCAGGCAGACCCTCGGGGTGGGAGAGCCGTGGCCCTGGGCACGCAGGGCAGGCACCTCGCATCCTGGCATCAGGAAGTCCCTGGAATCGTTTTGTATCGTGGGGTAAAGCTTGGCGCCCTTCCCTGCCCTCCCAGGGTGCTCTGCCTCCCAGGAATCTGCCTGTGTTCAGGTGTCCAGGAGCTCCTGGCCTTGCTTTTGGGCCGCTGAAAAGCCCGTAGTGGCTGGATTCACGGTGGGCAAGCTGTGAGGATGAGCCTTCCCACCAAGTTCAGACAAAATGGGGCTGCATTGGTTGGAAGTTGGGTGCCCCTGCCAGGTGGGCATGGGGTGCAGAAGGGCACTCGGGGGACCTGTGAGGCCCCCCCCGGGCCCTGCAAGGTGTGTGGCCTGTGGCCTCTGAGCTGCACCCTGGCTGCACCTCGGCAGATGCCCCATCACCTTTCCTGGGTTCACATTTCTGGCTTCTCTTAGACCCAGGCCACCGCCCGGCTTGTCTGAGGTGGGTTTGAGGGGAGTCTGGCTTGATGGTATGGGCCCCGCCGCTTCCGTTGCTCCCCCGTAAGCCGTCCGTCCAGTTTACCTTGTCCACCGAGCACTGCAGTGTTGCTAAGCAGTGAGCTCATCGAGGCCCGGAGCCCTGCACGGGAGCCCAGGTGCGTTAACCTGCAGGCGCTCAGCAGGTGCCGACGTGTTCCGCCATTACAGGGGCAGGCAAGATGGGCGGCCTCTCCTCTCCTGGCTCCAGGCCGCGCCGCGCCACTGCACCTAGTCCACTTGAAGGACCCAGGGCAGTGTCATCTGACCACCGCCGGCCTGGTGTTCTCTGGCCAGCCCAAGGTATGAGAGGCCCTCCGGACCACACCTGGTGTCCGCCCCTATTGTGAATAAAGTTTTATTGGCACAGCCACACCCAATTCTCAGGATGGTCCCTAGCTGCTTTTTGAGACTGAGTTTCACTCTTGCTGCCAGGCTGGAGTGCAATGGTGTGATCTCGGCTCACTGCAACCTCCACCTCCCAGATTCATGCCGTTCTGCCTCAGCGTCCGGAGTAGCTGGGATTACAGGCATGTACCACCACGCCTAGCTAATTTTGTATTTTTAGTAGAGATGGGGTTTCTCCATGTTAGGCTGGTCTCGAACTCCTGCCCTCAGGTGATCCACCTCCCTCAGCCTCCCAAAGTGCTGGGATTACAGGTGAGCCACTGCACCTAGCCTGCTTTCATTTTATTTATTTATTTATTTTTTTTTTTGAGACAGAGCCTTGCTCTGTTGCCCAGGCTGGAGTGCAGTGGTGTGATCTCAGCTCACCGCAACCTCCACCTCCTGGGTTCATGCGATTCTCCTGTCTCAGCCTCCCAAGTAGCTGGGATTACAGGCATGCGCCACCACGCTCAGCTCATTTTTGTATTTTTAGTAGAGATGGGGTTTCACCATGTTGATCAGGCTGGTTTCGAACTCTTGACCTCAGGTGATCCACCTGCCTTGGTCTCCCACAGTGCTGGGATTACAGGTGTGAACCACCGCGCCGGGCCACATGTACACGTTTTTTATAGAAACGGACCTTACTGTGTGGCCCCATCTGGTTTTACACTTTTATTTCTTGATACAGGGTCTCGCTGTGTCACCCAGGCTGGAGTGCAGTGGCACGATCATAGCTCACTGGAGTCTCAACCTGGGCTCCAGCAGTCCTCCCGTCTCAGCCTCCAAAAGTGCTGGGGCTACAGGTGTGAGCCACCATGCCCAGCCTCTCAGTTTTTACTCTTTACCACACTATATTTGCAGCATACCCTAAAACTTCACTTGCTTTCTATGTGAAATACAAATTTTACTGGGCACCCCTGTCTGTAGTTGCTAAGTCTGGTCACACTGACACTGATGGGCGTTCCTCCCGGTTGTGAGGATTGAATGAGGTAGAAATTCGGGCCCACACTGAACAGCTATGCTCCTTAAACCCACCCGGCTTCACGCTGCCGGTGGGAGCCCCCAGGCCCCAGAGCACGGCAGGGGAGTGCAGCCTTTGCTGATCAATTTCTTCTGGACACCGCTCCTTTAATTTTGGAAAAGGTACTTATTTTTCACACAGGGTCTTGCTGTGTTGCCAGGGTGGAGTGCAATGGCACAATCACGGCTCACTGCAGCCTCAACCTCCTGGGCTCAGGCAATCCTGCCTGTCGCCCAGAGTGCTGGGATGACAGGTGTGAGCCACCGCCCCCGGCCAGTACTGTTACTATTCATGAAAACCGAAAGCTAAAACAGCCCAAATACCCGTCCACCGGTGACTGGATAAACAGTGTGGTCCGTCCACACAACTGAACATGGAGCTCTGTCCCTCAGGCTGGAGTGCAGTGGCGCGATCTCGGCTCACTGCAACCTCCGCCTCCCAGGTTCAAGTGATTCTCCTGCCTCAGCCTCCCAAGGACCTGGTACTGCAGGCACCTACCACCATGTCCGGCTAATTTTTTGTATTTTTAGTAGAGACCGGGTTTCACCATGTTGGCCAGGCTGGTCTTGATGTCTAGACCTTGTGATCCACCTGCCCTGGCCTCCCAAAGTGCTGGGATTACAGGCGTGAGCCACTGGACTGGCATAAAGGACATTTTCTACATGTTTTATCAGAATAACAAAAAAGCGGCAAAGAAGAAACTCAGCCGGGCGCGGTGGCTCAAACGCCTGTCATCCCAGCACTTTGGGAGGCCGAGGTGGGTGGATCACCTGAGGTCAGGAGTTCAAGACCAGCCCGGCCATCATGGTGAAACCCCATCTTTAAAAACAAACAAACAAAAAACCTCACTGAAACTAAAACAAATACAATTGGGGTGATTTGAACACTTTATATTCAACACCAGAAATTTGTCAACGGCTGGGTACAGTGACTCACTCCTGTAACCCCAACATTTTGGGGGGCCAAGGCAGGGGAATTGCTTGAGCTAAGCTCAGGATCAGCCTGGGCAATGTGGCGGAACGCTGTCTCTGCAATTTTAAAGTTCGCCACACGTCTCACGCCTGTAATCTCAGCACTTTGGGAGACCGAGGCAGGCAGATCACCTGAGGTCACGAGTTTGAGACCAGCCTGGCCAAGATGGTGAAACCCCATTTCTACTAAAAAAAAACGCAAAAATTAGCCGGGCGTGGTGATGCGTGCCTATAACCCCAGCTACTCGGGAGGCGGAGGTTGTGGTGAGCGGAGATCAAGCCGCTGCACTCCAGCCTGGGTGACACAGCCAGACTCTGTCTCAAAAAATGAAAAAAAAATATCACCCACACGGTGGTAGCGCCTGTCGTCCCAGGTACTCGGGAGGCTGAGGCAGGAGGATCACGTGAGCCCAGGAGTTTGAGGCTGCTGTGATCACACCCCTCCAGCCTGGCTGTCTAAAAATAAGAAAGTTTTGGTACTTTCTCAGATGTGATCATGGCTTCATCTTGAGTCCTTCTGTTTGAGAAACACTTTCTAACGTGTTCATGGGTGGAGGGGTTTTGGGTGTGCGGCTGTGGGTGGAGCTGTGACTGTCACCTCCCCCACAGGAAGCCATCGGGACGGGGTGGGGGGTTGCTGGCATACGTGCTGGGTGTCTGCAGCAGCATGGAGGCCTGTGTGTCTTCAGTCCTGGTGTTGGCCCTGGGGGCCCTGTCGGCAGGTGAGTGGGAGCCAGAGTGCAGGGGTCACTGAGGCCCAGAGCTCTTGGGGGTCCCTGGATGGGGGGTTAGGCGTGGGCGGCAGCATCCTGGGCGTAAGAGTGGAGATTCGTCATTGCTTGGCGGGAAGACAGACCGGGGGGCATCCCAAGCTCCTCGCCTTCACCCCGAGCACTGGGAAGTGCCGCCGTCCACCCGCTCACCTCGTCCATCCTCCCGGCGGCACCCAGAAGGCAGGGCCCCCATCACACCTGAGGTGCAGAGCAGGAAACTGAGGCCTGGCTAGGAAACGCCCCAGCTGGGAGCGCAGAGCCGGCGCTCCCTCCCCACCCCACTGGCTGCCTCCTATAACCGAAGGCGTGGCGGGATTAGGTGCCCAGCAGTGAGAGAGGAGGGAGGTGGGCAGTGGTTCCTGTGCCGGCTGGACGGGGTCAGGGGCTCTGGTGAGCTGGGGACCTAAGCAGATGGGCGGAGGTAGATCCAGCCATCCACCCGTCAGCCATCCATCATCTTCCCATTCTTCTTTTTCTTTTTTTTAATTTTAAAGACGGGGTTTCACCATGTTGGTCAGGCTGGTCTTGAACCCCCAACCTCAGGTGATCCGCCCACCCTGGCCTCCAGAGTGCTTGGATTACAGGCGTGAGCCACCGCGCCTGACCCATTCTTCTTTTTTTCCTCCCATGGGTCCGTCGTCCCTCCCTCCCTTCACCCCTCCTTCCTTCCCTCTGTCCGTCCATCCATCATCCCTCCTTCCTGTCATTCTTCCACCCATCCCTGCATCATCCATCCCTCCTTCCCTCCATCGTTCATTCCTCCTTGCTTTCATCCACCCATCATCTTCCCCTCCTTCCTTTCAGGTACCCACCCACCCATCCATCATGTTTCTCTCCCTCCTTCCCTCCATCCATCCATCACCCCCTCCTCTTTCCATCCCTCCCTCCTTCCTCCCTCTGTCCCTCCTCCTCTTCCCCCTTCCTGCCGTGTATCCCTCCGTATTTGCAGGCCACGCCCTGTTCTAGGCCTGCTGTACCCGAGACAGGCCTGGGGCCTGCCCTCCTGTCTGCCCGAGAGAGATGGGCCAGGCGCGAGGCTGTGCACACAGTCTGGGAGGGGTGGGTGCTGGGAGGCTGGCAGAGCAGAGGAAGGGCAGAGGGGGCAAGAGGGCGGCTGGGGGGCCTCTGTGGCGAGAGGAGCAGAAACCAAGGGAGGAAGCCGGGCCGGGGGTGGGGAGGCACACAGGCAGCTAGGTGGGGTGCGGGCAGCTAGGTGGGGTGCGGGCAGCTAGGTGGGGTGCAGGCAGCTTGCAGGCGTGGCAGGGACCCGAGTGTCGGGAGAAGGGAGGAGAGAGAAGGTGGTCAGCAGGGCCA